TATATATATATATATATTTCCGGAACCAATCAGTTGGAAGACGACAGACTACCGAAGATGATATGTCACGAATGCGAGGAAAAGGTAGCCGCTACGTTCGAATTTCGTGAACAATGCAGAAAATCGGAAAATTTCTTGCGATTACATTACGAATCGTGTATCTCGGACAAACTTGATCTTGTTAAAATATCAGATTACAAAACTGTTGTGGTAAGTTTGATTATCAATTTATTTTCAATAAATATAAGTTACTTTCAAAATTAGACTTTTTCTGATAATTTTCTTTTTGTAACAAGAAGAACAATATTAAAAAATTGTAACAATTTTAGGATTGCAATGTTGAAGCTAATTCAAATATGACGAATCTTGATGTAATCGATTTGAAAGAAGATCGGGGACATTCGGGAAAGAATCAACGAGCATTTAATGAACAAAGAAGTGAAAATTCCATATTAAAAACACAATATGAAAGGGAAAAAATATTAGAATCAAAAATTGTTCACAATGAAATTATGAAAGAAAAGATGATAAAATCAAAAATAGTATCACAACCATTTTTTAACGATGATCGAAACCACGATGAAGAAGGAAAAAATAAAAAAAAAGATAAGATGATCGATCAAATTTATTTTTTCAATGATGAACATAAATACATAGAGAAAGAAAGCGGCGATAATAATTCTACAGAAAAGGTACAAATCTGTAATGATACAATGAAAATGCCATATCTGTGCGATATCTGTAGCAAAACTTTTGCTTCGAAATCTGGATTGCGATTTCATTTGAAATCGCATGATGCCATAAAGTCTTATCCATGTCGATATTGTGATAAACGATTTGTAATTCCTAGTTATACCAAAAGACATGAAAAAATTCATATGGGCGATAAACCATTTATTTGTCAATATTGTAGCGCAACTTTTGCTTCTTCGAATGGTCTAAAATATCATTTAAGACTTCATACGGGTGAAGCAAACTATCCTTGTGAAATTTGTGGCAAATCTTTTTATCGACATAAATATTTAAAGGAACATATATTCACACACACAGGAGAGAAACCATATATTTGTAAAACGTGCGGCGCTTCCTATGGAAGTTCTGGCAGCTTGTTCGTGCATAAGAAAAAGTGTAAAACTATATAAATTATTGTATAAAATATATATAAAAAATATATATAAAAAATAATGGACATAAATAATGGAAATAAATAAACAAATATATATTTCTGACCCATTCTAATTCTAATCGAAAAATATTTAAAAATATATTAAAAACTTAATATATTAAAAACTTTTTTTCCCAATAACCAAGAAAGTCAGGAAAAAATTCGAAAAAAAACTATCTTTATATTTTTCATATGTTCAAATTTAAGAATAATAGAAACATAAGAATATTCAGACAATTATTTGAAATGTAAATATCTTTTTCATTGCTTTCTGCAATAATATAAATAAGATATTCTGAATAATATAAATAAGATAGAGGATAAATGTGATATATAATTTTTTAATTTTTTTCATTTACCGTGCCACATTCAGTATAGAAAATAGTAATAAAAGTATAGAAAATAATTGTAACATTAATAATAATTAGAATTAAAATTTGATTCTAGTATATTAAATTATGAATGAATAAAATAATATCGTATAGATTTAGATAAAAAACAAAATAAACGTAATATTTTAATATTTTTTAATATATTTTATGGGATTTTATCATATTATATCATAGATAAATTATAACATACACAAGATATAAGATTTTTATATTTAATCTTATGATTATTATATTACGGTTATAAGATAATATACAATGCATTTTTTTTGCCCCCTTATCATTTTAGTATCATTCCCAATGTTATCGATTCTGCAGAATAAAATTGTAATTATCATAGTAGCACAGATTAAATACACAAACTAGATATAGAATTTAAAATTTTATATATATTTAATATTATATAAATATAAAAAAATAATAATAAATGATAAAAAATAAATCAATATTTTTATAATTATAATATAATATATATTTTTGTATTTCAAATTTCTGGAATTCTAGCTATTATCATATCACTCATTACCAACAGAACGCAAAATTTGATTGTTTGGCAAGATTTTATTGCATTTATTCTGATAAGAATTATAAATAACGAATCAAATGGACAATATATGTAATTCCTTAAATTTCTTTTATAATAATTATTATTGATTAATTAATATTAGTTGATATACATAATAATATATATTTTTAAAAAGGAAAATAATGATTTGATTTTAAAAATCAATATAAGAATCTTATATCTAAGTGTTAATTCTTCAATAATTTTTTATTTTATTGCATATATTCATTTAGCAAAACTGAAATTAGTATCTAATTTCAATTTCTGATTCAATTTCTAACTTGATAATCAAATTTAGTTACAAAAATCCATAAGATATTTATTTAGTTTATAGTTAAGTCTGTTTTATAATACCTAATCACAAAGATATATGAATTATTATAATTTATCTACATTATAAATATTTACTTTATCGACTACTAATAGATACTATAGATATCTGCTTTATTAACCGAACATAGCGTCGCCAAATGCACAATTATATAAAATAATATACTTTTATTCGTATAGTTTTAGATAGGTTATATATGATTATATTATTTTTTGGCTACCGACAGAATTTTGACATTTTCTATAGAGAAGAATCAAAGTATTTGTTAAAGAAAAAATATATCAATACGTTTTGTATTTACTGAAAACATGCCACGGCTCATTTTTCAAATCATTTCATTTTCAATCTTCAAATTCTTTATTTAATCAAAATCTCCGTTTTTTCTTTAAATCAATATTCTATAGCTTTCTATAAATCAGTGCGCAAGTGGAATCCATTTTTTTACTTCTTTTAATTTCCTCTAGTTTCCTTTTTCTTGTGATTTTTATATTTTTGAGAAATAAAATTAATTCTTTGTATGGATCATTATTCAATATTTTTTTGAAAATATTGTTATCAGCAAATTATATCAAATACATTTTCATTAAATAATCTTTTTGTTTGTATAATATTCAAAAATTACTCACCAAAAAGAAAATCTCCGCTACAATACAGCCTGTTCATTTTCGTTGCTATATACGACAACTGCAATTCACGATGTATTAGAATCCGGAAGGAAAGCAAATAAAAAAAAAAGATAGAAATAAAATAGAAATTAAACAATCAGCGCCATCTCTTGAATACCTTGAATAAAACAACTATATTCTACTATAGATAAAAAGAATAAAATATAAAAGAAATAGAAAGATAGTAACTATCAGCGCCACTTGAGTGCCGAAAATAATTGACAAGATACTCAAAAGATGGCGTTGAATTTTTATTCTACCCTATCTTACAATACCTAAAGAGATATTTTTGACATTCAAAAAATGGCGCTGATGATCAATTCTTATTCTATCTCTGTTTTATTTATCTCTTTGTTTATACATGTTTCATTTAAGATACTCTAGAGATGGCGCTAAATCCTCAATTTTTATTAAAAATGATAAAAGCATTCCTAAAAATATGTGAAAAATTTTAGAGAATAATATAAAAATATATTGATCTAAAATTTTAAAACGAAAAAAAAAAAAAAATAAAAATGATAAAAAATTTAATAAAAAAAAAAGATAATTTGTTATTTATTTCATATGAATCAAAATTAACTATCATATTGTAAAAAAAAAAGAAAAAAGAAAAAAAAACTTCTATCTTTAAAATTATCATTAATTTTATTCGTAAATTATATAATTATATATATAATTAAATAGATGTGTAAATTTTGTAATAGAATTAAAAAAATTTTTATTCAAAGAATAAACATTAAGAAAGATAATAAATAGAGAGGTAGTGATGTCGCTATTCGAATTTTTTGGTAATTCGAATATATATTACGAAATTATGAATTAACAATGGCTAATGCAACGACTTTAAATTATAGATGAAATATCATATCACAATCTCTTTACTATAAATATTTATGTACATGATAGACGAAATATATCACGTCGCAATGTTTATTAATATATTTATTAATATGATGTTGCATGCATAATCATAATCGAATCATTATATTTTAACAATATTATTAATGCAACATAAGGAAAAAAATTATTTTCACTGATATTATGATGTTTTCTATATATTAAATAATTTTCTTTTCAAAAAATTGATGAATTTTTAGATAAAATATCTCATATCCTAATAAAAAATATCTCGTCCATAATGTCATAATAAGAAACATTGTAATGAGAAATATTTCATCTATAATATCGCATGAACGACATCATGATAAAATATCTTATGCGATAGAAAAAGAATTAATATAAATCTTTGGTATTTAAAAAACAGGAATTCAATAATCGAACATTATCATGATCGACAATCGGTATTCCTGCGTATGGACATTTCTGAGGAAGCAATTGACATCCATTGATTAATGTCGGATCGAAACCATGTTAGACCTAAAGAATATTTTCCATTCAGATTCGCGTGTTGGCATCGACTAAACCACCATCCGCCATGATAATTTCTGGCGCAATGAGTCGTACTAGTATCCATATCCCGATCTTTTGCACTGAAAGCCATTCCATTCTGATAAGATAGAGCATCAGTCGCGTTACCGGAATACCCGTTAACATTTAATCTATAACCATTTTCTTTTGATTCAATCCTGAACGAATCGTATTCAGCACGCCAATGTTGGCCGTAAATGTCTAACATATCGATACGAAGACTGGTACAATTATCAGAATTGGTGAGTCTATGAAGGAATTCATTACCGATCCAATATTCACTGATCGGTGATCCGAAACCGAGAGAATAATCATTCCAATTGCGATCGAAATCGAGAGTTCCATCAATACGACGAGCAATTACGATCCAACCTTCGTGACAAAAAATTAATATCGGTCTGCCTTCTTTACCTGTTTCCAAAAGTCTTAATCCATCGATAGGTTCGTTTATAGGTTCGTTTTGCATACAATCACTAGTCAAATTATGTCGAATTAAATGATATCGATCTTCGAGTTCTTCAAAATTCGAAAACGTATCGTTTGACGATTCCAGTAATGTCGAGGTAATCGAAGATCGATAAAAATCGATTATCGAACAAGTAGCATTTAATCGATCAATCATTTTCTCTTGTTTATCGCTCCTCTCTTGAAGTTTAGACGCACTGACGCTTAAAGCTTGTACGGTACGACGTAAATTGTTAAGTTCTTCTCTGGTTAACGAAAGTTCAGCCGCTTTTTGAGCGGCATTTACACCGAGTCGCATCAATTCCCATTTTGTAGACGAATTATTTCTTTCTACGGCGTCTTCGAGAGATCGTAATGAATCGAACAATCGTGAGCCGAGTGATTGATCGATATTGTTCGTGAAAATTTCGTTCTTGTTACTGATATTCGAAATTTTTCGAGATAATTCGATTTGAGCCTTTTCTAAACTTTTTATACGTTTGTTTAAACCAGACCATTCTTGATTCTCGTACATCGTAATACGTTTTTCCAATGATACTCGTTCTTTCATTGTGAGAAAAATTTTATGTTCGAGACTTTTCAAACGATCATTCAATCGCATTCGATATCCTTTTTGTTTCAAATAGTGTTTTCTTACGAGTCTCCGTCGAGGAATACTGTGTGACGCGACAGCTGTAGTCTTGGGATCGCTATTCCCTGTGCTCGACTCGCCTAAATACGACGATACTGTTCCCACTACCGTACCAGCTGTCACTGTTCGTGTCTTTTTTTCCATTTCTCTTTCTCTACCTTCTTCCCCTCTTTCAACATTTATTCTATGTTCAATCAAGGAATTCACATTAACTGAAGAGGAATCGCATTTAAGAGACTTTACTTCGATTTGGATTGAATTCAACTGAAATTAAAGTTTTTACCATGTTATTAAATGCGCGACATAAAAAAAAAAAAAAGAAAAAATATATTTTTTACGAGTACAAATTTCGTATAAGTCTTGTATTGTTGTTGCGATTAATTATTATATTTACCACAATAATTGCAAATAAAAAAAGTAAAATACAAAAATTAATGAACAGAAATGCAGATATAAATTTAAATATAAATATATAATATTATAATGAGAATTTTATTTCAAATATTTTATATCTTTTTGTATAATATGTATATTTTCTATATTTTATTCAATTTTTCTAAGTTTTAATAAATAGAATGTATCAATAAAAAATGATAGCATAAAAAAGAAGAGTAAAAAAACAATGTAACAAAAGCAGAAAGAAAAAATAATCCGAAATTATAATAAACGTAGTTTTTCAAATATGTAAAATATAAAAAAAAATAAAAAAATCTATTGCACTAATAGAAATTAAAAACAATTAAGAAATATAAATGAACATCAAGCAGCTGCAGAATAATGAAAGGACCCGCCACTGAAATATGTAATCGGTCGGCTAACTAACACGATGGCAGAGCCTAGCAGGTGTTTCAACTTGTCGGTGTTCCACATAAACGCAATATTCATCGAATTACTGCGTTTCTGCAGCTGTCTTGAAACAAAATATGCCACGTTACTTGTGTGCGTAATGAGTAAAGATACAGATGGTAGGAGTGTGAGCGAAAAATGGGGAAGGAGAGCAAGAATGAAGGAAGAGAATAAAAAAAAAGAAAGAAAAAGAAAAAAGAAAAAGGTAGGGTGAAATCGTGGCAGATGCATACGATCGATCGAGCATGAGCAGGTGGACGAGCCCTGAACGATAAAACAGGATTCCAAAGTGAAAAAAAAGAATCCTAAACTAAAGAGAAAGTAACACGTGGTCCAACGACCGAAAAAAGCGAGTAGTCCAAGAAAATGTTACCTGGCTGGAAATATCGGCATAAGTACGAAAGAGCAAACTAAACCGTTCTTTCATTGCGGCAATATCAACGCGAATTGTTCCGAGGACAGCTTCGATCTTGGTTATTCTGCCACCGAGATTTCGAATTCCTTTTCCAACTGCAGCAACATCCCCCTTCAAAAGTGCAAGTTCACCTTTCATTCTGGATCTCTCGGCAAGTTCTTCGCTCACATTTCTTGTACGAAGAACTTCAGCAACTTCTCCTTGAAGTTCGGTAACCGCGCTTCCTAACCATCTTACACGCAACTTTTCGTTTTTTGCCTCGTTTCCATTACCACCGTGTAGAGAGGTTATTTCTTTTCTATGAACGAATATCACCATCGCCAATAGAAATAAAATTCTACTTGTTAATTCGAATTTGATTATTTATTCGATCACAATGCAACAACAAAGATTTTCTTTTACCTTAATTGTTTAATTTCGTTTTTCAGAACAAACAATTCTGTATTTTTCTCGATCGCATGTTTCAAGCTTGCTTCAAGAGCGTTGTAATCCTGTTGCCGGTGATCGAGAAGAGCATTTACTTGTTCCCGTAGCGATCTTATAGCGTCAGAAATATTTTCCTCACCATAAATTTCTACTCGCGTAACGACCACTACGAATATTATACACAATAGCCAGCTTTTTCTGGTCATTTTTCTATATGATAATCGGCTATTATCATCGAATAAATCATAAATAACTAATAAACTAATATACTAACTATACTATATTATATTGTTCTGTTATTAAATATTATTGACGATCGTTGTCGTCTGTAAAAATTAAACGTTGAACATTTATGGTTCGACCACCGAAAGCTCACTGGCTTAACCAACGGCCGCCCTGCCAGTTTTATATCGTCCTTTCCTTAAAAGGTTGGGGGTAGAGAGTATAAGGAGCAGGTGTGCATTCAGAACACAACCAACGTTCCGTAGCCATGCATTGTCTCGTGCCTGCAAGCTGTGCTCTCGATACTCGGCTATCATCATCATCGGATCTTTATCCCCATTATTTTTTTACATTACTTCTATTTGAAAACCACAGTTTATTTATTAATTAGGAAATTAATAATTTATATTTTCGAATATAAATTTTACGTTATTGTATAAAAATAAAATAGGTAAAAATAAAAAAAGAAAAGATATAGAGAAAGAGAAATAAAGTTATAAAATATATATATATATATATTATATATTTTTTACTCTGCATATTGTGTGTGCGTATTACATATATTTGAATGAAAAGATAATAGTTCATTTAAAATTTAATTTGTACTCTAATAAGATTTTATATTTCTTCTACAAAATTCCATACTCACACACTTAGTTTTGTTGCGAATTTATTATACATTTTATTGCCGATGAGATTATTTCAAAAGAAAGTAGCAGAATAATCTATTAATGATCAAATAAATTCATAATGATCAAATAAAATGATTCAAATGAAGAAATGAATTTTCAGAAATATATGTGAGAAAAATCAATGAAATGTGATAATCATCACAAGTTTTTCAACTCGAATCATCGTTTAATACTTCTTTAATTAATTATTCATTAGTTTATTGTAAGAAGATTAATGTTTATCGATGATTAAATTTTAATTTTAATCAATCAAGATGTTTTACGCGTACGAATATTATCATGATGGAACATTTTTTAATAAATACAATCATTGGCACATAACGTGAATTTTGATAAAATTTTTAAATATCTTATTACATTTTCTATATCTTTATCTAAAGTAAAGTACTATATACAGAAATAATAAAAATACGTCATTTAAAAATTTTACAATCTTTGTTACTAACACGTGATAGACTAAATAAAATGGCACTCGCTTTCGTTTCCATGATAAATCGATCAAGCACACATAACGTGTGCATGTATACATTATACCAAACAAATAGAATTTTTGATTTCATAACGATTTGACTCGTGTCTTATCGAGTCTAAGAGAATAAAAACTACATATATGTATATATATGCATAATTTGTACAAGTAAAGTTCGATCTAATTTAATCCATTTTTTTGTTTTTCATTCGAATGGATTCATACCATACTGTTATCATATACATTCTGGAAAAATCAAGTATTTTTTACTATTTAAACCTTTTTTTTAAGTTTGCGCCGATCCATAAGTTCCTGTTGGTGGACGATACAATTTCGGAAATGTCAGTATTTGCAAACTATTAAACGCGTATTTCCGAATTCCAATATTTTTCCATGTATTCTCTCGCCGACATCCTTCGCTGTAATTAAAATAATATTTATTGTAAATAATAAATAATATTCAATTAAATAATATTCACATTCTAATTAAAATCAATATTTACTACTATTTGAATATATTTTCAAAACAATTATATTAACTGTATATATTATATATAACACATAGATCACACACGCGCGCAGGCATATATACACATTATTTTTTATAAAAATTAACCTTCGCATACAGTCGAGCGCTCTTATGTATTCGTGCTCGGCTAGATGATATTCGGCGGTTAAAATGTTCACTTGCTCCAACGTAACAGACATTCCAGTGCGATCTTTTGCACTTTTGCAGCTAGTAAATCTCAAACCGCGCATTCTCCGACAAATTTGAGAGGATAATTGCAAGATTTCAACGTTCTTATTTACTTTGGCTTGAACACTTGCTTTTAAATTGGTCATCAGTTCTACTAAAGTTTGACCAAGCGGTGATCTTGCACCAACTAAATCCGATAAAAATATGAACGAGATGAATACAAATATATATATACACATATATATATGTATTTAAATGAAAAACATATCTTATAACATAAACTTACGTCGTGTTGACGATGTCTCTGTCGGCAAATTAAGTTTTTTGAATCGTAAGTAATACTCGTTTAGTCTTTCAAAATTATCCATATTGCTTTTTTCTTGCGGTTTTGTGGTTCCGAGACTTTCTGCCAGGGAAGCCATTTCATTAATACCAACATTAAAAAAAACGGGAGTAACATTGAAGGAAATTGTTTGTCTAGAAGAAGGGACTAGTGGAAGAAGAGAATAAATCGCATCTGGGACTGGAAGTATCACTGTTAAAGCTGCTCGAGAACCAAGAACTTTTGGTAATGGTTGTTGAAACGGAGCATTACTGTTTCTTTCAAGCCTGAAAAAAACATATTATTTATATAATTTTAATATATAATTTATGTAATTATTTATTATAATAGAATATTTGTTCATATTTAAAATTTTTTAATCTTTTATTATACTGAACACTAATATCGAATACATCAATACTTTGATATTAACCTTGGTTCGATGCCACATCTGGTCAACGTAAAAGTTACTGTATGCATATCTTCTATCGCTACAGTCATATCTCCCCACATATCTATTTCATCTCCATAATAACTGAGAAGACCTTCAAATGAAACCAGGGGACCAAGAGTGGTTAAGATTAAAAGAAACATAGGATCAGGTCTTTGACACCAAAGTTTCGCCATCAATCCCGATACTAGACTAGTCAACTAAAATCACAAAAAATTATGATTAGAATAAAATCTAAAATAAAAAATAATAT